TGTATCGACGCGACCTTCGCGGGACCTTCCGCCGTGACAAAGGCATTGTCTGCGCTGACTAAACCCGAGGGTGGTTCCTCCGCGAGGTGGTAGGGCCCTGGTGAAATCACCACCAAACACCCAGGGTCAAGGACGCCTTTGTGTCGCCGCTTGTGGCACTCGCCCAACTCAAGTACTAGTGAATAAGCATAAGGATTTATGTTTTTTTAACAATATTGTTAAACTCTTACTGTAAATTTAATTTTAGACCATCTGCTAACATTATAAATGCAAAAGTTTAGATGTATGGATGTTTGTCAGAGTTTATAGGCTAAACAGCTAAACGGATTTGGGTGAAATTTGGCATGGAAGTAGTCTGGAAGAACACATATGCTTCTTTTTTAATACCATGCGCGCGGAACTGCGGGCGAAAACTAGTTAACAATATAAATATTAACAACCTGCTCTTCTATCTACAGAGGATTGACGCAGTACATACTGCTTCTCCTTAAACCCCTTTTCATATCTGAATTTTCTTTCACATAATCCATCCATACCTTTTTCTTTCTACCTCTACCTTTGTAGAGATCTTTTGATCTAAATATTTTCTCGTTTATGTGAATTGTTTATATAAATTATTTCCACTATCTAGATTAAATTATATAGAATAATGTTGGCATAATGCGACCAGGAAAAGCTAACCACTATTGGTAAATGATGTACCTACTCAGAATAAAATAATGTGTAAAATTCTAAAGTACAAAACTCACCACAATACTGAACTGTGTGTTTTCCTTGAAACATAAAGTCTTGTTGGCAGAATTATTTAACAGTCTTAATATCTGAAAGTAAAAGCTGAAACTGATAAGAAATAGAAACAAAAACAATCAAGTAACTTTTCGTCAGTAAATGTACTTGAAACTACTTAGTTATTTGTAATAAAGGTCTTTTGTTTAGGTGTATTTTGACAATACAAGTGTAATGCGCATTTAAAATACGCGTGTAAGCTTATGTCTTTAAATACGTAGATCCAATTTCTACGTAATAGAACGACTATCTTATTCTTGAAAATTTCCGTTTTCCTGCTTTGTAAATTTCCGTTATACATAAAGTAACTAACTATATGGTTTGCGAGCTAACAATAAAGAAAAATCAAATGATTAATGGCAGCAATTGGATGATAAGTGGTGAGTTAGATTCGAATCTTCCATAAAGTTCACAGTGGCAGTTTTTCCGACAAATTATGACGT